GATCGATTTTACTATTTTGACTACCACAGCTTAGTAGGATACATATTTAATCCTGCTTTTGACACTTCCTTGAATTCTTTACTTTCTAGGCTGGATGGTTAAACTTAGTCAGAATGAATACCAAGAGGGTGTGGCCTTTTATATGGTCGCATTTTCCTTTCGTTGTATAGAAGTTGTTTGGCCTTGTTTTCACAACTTGGTCATATTAGTAGGAAGTCCTAGAATAACTCACCTAGTCCGGAGTATGCATGATAATTTCCAGAGTCAGATTGTAGACGTGGTACATTACCAGACGTTTCGCCGGCATAGTCAGTGAGCCTTGCCATTCTTAGTACCACACAAAAACTCGTCAAAGAAATAAATGAAGTAGAGCTTTGAACAATTGTCTGCTAAACAGATGTGGTATCTCCTTTCCTGGGGTGTTTACCTATCTTATTTCCTCGTATCATCCCTTCAGTATCACAGGATATCAGTATCAGGATATAGGATAGAAATAGAGGTGAGTATAACGGTCTGCTGAGTAAGATGAGGGGACTCGATTAGCCTTCGTAAACTTCATTTATCCTTTTCACTCATCAGCATGAACGTATGACAAAAATGAGGTGGCATGATGTTATTATGGAATGCCCCCTTTAGATCTCACATTTGGCCTATAAGAAGCTAGCATGATTGAAGTCTGCCACATTTCTTGGCCGTTTGTTTGAGGATGACGAAACAGACTAAAGCTAAGCATAGATTCATAACATTTATACAACGGGGCTGTGATGTCTTCTTCGAACAAGTCACTAGTCACAATTCCGAGAAAATCTCATCGGTTTTCTTTGAAAGCAGCTCATAAAACTATTCACCAAAATTCTAATGTAAAATGAAATATTTTTGACAGTCTTGAGTTTGTTGACAAATGTTGTCAGGTGTAACGGGTTTTGGTGATCCAGTCAAATGAGCATATCTGCTTGTCTAGTCAAAAAACTGTTTTAATATACACAGGTTAAGGCATAAGAAATATCTTTTCAATTGATTCTTCTGGAATTTGTCTACAGATTCATTTGGTTGGACAGCACCTAAATGACTTCGCATTTGCGACTTGTCTCACTACCTGCCTTTTGTCTTTATTTTGCCCAGGATCATCCAGATGCCTGGACTCAAATAGGCCTTCTCCACCTTAGCAAGCACGAGATTCATCAAGCGAATAAGAAATTCGAGAGAGTGATGCATTTAGCCGATGCCTATGCCCGCATTGCAATGGGTAATATTTGGTTATCTTCCCTACACCATCCGATTCCTGACAAGGATAAGAGAAGACGTTGCCAAGTGAGCCCACAGAATGATGCTTCGTAATCATCAGCCTCTGCGCAAACTTTTTAAAATCTATTTATAGTCAAACATTTAATGTATTTATTATATCTTATCTCAGCATGAAAATGCACTAATGTTCTACATCGCATCCTATCTCCCTCTTCCTAAGCCTTATTTTGTTATCTCTTGACTTCGTACTACACCTTTTTTGTTGCTTATAAATGCATTTACTTTCATTTTCCTTTTTTAACTAAGTCTTCTTCCTTTACCAAGACGGAGTGTTGTCTATAATTTCAGATGATGATGCCTCCGTTTTTATAAGCTAGTGATACCCTAAAGGAAAAATTGAACTCGGGTTATTTCCTTAAAGCATAAATGCTTAAACGAAGGTATTAAGACCAAGATGATGTGGCCTTTTGTGTGGTCGCAGTCTCCTTTCGTTGTATAGTAGTTATTTGACCTTGTTTTCGCAACTTGGTCATATTGGTAGGAAGACTTAGAGGAACGCACCTAGTCTGGAGTCCATTGAATGCATGTTCCTTTCCGGATTCGGACTGTGGACGTTGTACATTCCCAGAAATTTAGCCGGCATCGTCATTAAGTCTTGCTATTCTTAGTATCACACTGCAACTCGTCAAATAGATAAGTGAAGCCAATCCTTTGACTAAATGTGTTCTAAACAGTTGTGGTAACTCTCTTTCTGCCCTGTGCTATTCGCATTTCCTATATCCTCCTATCAGACCTTCACTGTTACCATTTTTACTGTTCTTATTTCGAGGTAGTGGGGTGTGCTCCTTTGAGTGGCATTCATGAAAACCCTTCACACTCCACGCTGTCGTTCTCACCCCTTTCATCCTAGTGCTGGGACTGTTGATCAAAGTTTGTCATATTGTTACGCAGTCCTTCTTTATAAGTCTTATCACAGTCTCTCTCTCTTGCCCCGTAAAATGCGTCTGATCTCTCCCTGGTTCACGTATTTCACTCGACCCCTGCCACCCCATCTGTGCTACTGGAGGCGTTATTCACCCTCCCCTGCGTCTGGGCGACAAATTCGAGGCTTAAGCCTCTGAGTAAGTCTCATCACCAAGCTTTTGCTACATTGACAACGTCTCTGGTAAGACTTTCTGTCAGCCAACTAGCTCCAGACTCCTGTTTCTATCCCCAATACCAAGTCTATGACTTTCCATGCACTAGTCTCTTGTGTGCTAAACCACAAACGTTGTTGTTCAACATTGAACCTAATCAAAGTAGTACCACAACATTTGTGGGTTAGCACACAAGAGACTAAAGCATAGCAAGTCATAGACTTGGTATTACGAATAAAAACAAGATAGACGCAGCTAAGACTGGATATAGTTGGCTGATAGTAGGTCTGTTGTACCATAGACGTGGTCAATGTAGCAAAGGTTTGACGATGAGACTTGCTTAGAGGCTTGAGACTCGAATTAGTCACTAGATGAAGAGGAGGGCGAATAACGCCTCGAGTAGTACAGATGGAGTGGCAGGGGTCAAGTGAAATACATGAACCAAGGAGAGAGCAGACGCATCTTATGGGGCAAGATAGAGACTTTTACAAGACTTAGAGAAGGAGGACTGCGTAACAATATGGCAGACTGATCAACATTCCCAGCATAAGGGTGGAGGGGGTGAGATGACAGCCTGGGGTGTGAACGTTTTTCATGAATACCACTCAAAGGAGCACACAACGCTTCCCGGAAATATGCACGGAAAAAATTGTAACAGTGGTGTGATAGGAGGATATAGGAAATGTGAATAGCCCAGGGCAAAAGGGAAGATAGCACAAATGTTTAGCACACGTTTGGTCAAAGGATCGGTTTCACTTGTCTCTTTGACGAGTTGTTCTGTGGTGCTAAGACTGACGAGACTCACTGACGATGTCGGCGATACGTCTAGGAATGTACAACGTCTACGGTACGAGTTTGGAAATGTTTATGTATACAATGGACTCCGGACTAGGTGCGTTCCTCTAAGTCTTTCTACCAATATGACCAAGTTGCGAAAACAAGGTCGAACAACTTCTATAAATGCTTTAATTTCATTTTATGTGACCGTATTGTTTTCATCAATTAAGTATCTTAGTTTAAACCCTAACTTTATTTGGCTTTACTCATTCAGAAGTAGACTTCTTGCATATTGGATGAATATCCAAAAACTTCAGTTTGGTTTCTAGTTAATTGTACGTTTGGGAAGTTGGTTTGCCTATCCTATCTATTTTGTCTTTTATTCATCTGCCTATTCTCTTGGCTGATATTCTATTCTTATTACTTCTCTATAGGAGCGTGCTATTTCCTGCTACAAATCTGTCCTTTGCGCTGATCCTCGCAATATCTGGGCCGCCCATGGAATCGGTTGCGTTCTGGCCCACAAGGGCTTCGTAAACGAGGCACGAGACGTTTTTGCTCAAGTGCGCGAGGCCACTGCTGACTTTGCAGATGTTTGGATAAATATTGCTCACATTTATGTTGAGCAGAAGCAATACACTGCTTCTATTCAAATGGTACCTTTGCTTGCTTAGGCAGTCAGATCACATTATTTGCATGTGTATATGTACCTTTTTATTTATGGAATATTATATTTTATTATACATGTATATTTACACAGCGAATCATATATTTATGCATATATTATATGCAAATATATTAATGCAGGTATTGCTTTTTAAGCTCATAATTTAGCTATATTTATTTAAAAGCTTATCTATTCTTTAAATTCGCTTGAATTATTTTTTATCATTAGTCTTTAAACTCTAACTATGGACAACAGATGAAAACAAGAGTCAGTTAATGAGTTTTTTTCAAGAGAACTTTGCCTCGCTGTTTTTATTTATAAAGCCTATCAAATATGTTCATAGTAGAAATAATGTGCAGGAATATGCATAAAAAAGATGGATCAGTTATAAAACTTTTCGAAGATATGAAGACCAAGATGGTGTGGCCTTTTGTGTGGTCGCAGTCTCCTTCATTGTATAGAGTTTGCTTGACTTTGTTTTCGCAACTTGGTTATATTGGTAGGAAGACTTAGAGGAACGCACCTAGTCCGGAGGGGAGATATCACAACTGTTTAGCACACATTTGGTCAAATGATCGGCTTCACTTGTCTCTGACGAGTTGTATGGTGCTAAGAATGACGAGATTCACTGACGATGTTGGCGAAACGTCTGGGAATGTACCACTTCCACGGTCCGACTTTAGAAATGATTATTCATACAATGGATTCCGGACTAGATGCGTTCCTCTAAATCTTTCTACCAATATGACCAAGTTGCGTGAGCAAGGTCAAACAACTTCTCTTCTATTATTTTTGAGCTCACTTTTGTTTCATTTCAAAGTGTGCGATTAAGAGATTTGTAGGTCTCTAGCCAAAAGTCGATGACAATTATCCCTTGGTCTTTTGTCTTTTGGTTTTACTGGGACCTTCTCGAGCCACTTTAATTTTTAGATTTTTTGACTCATCCCGAAATAGTTTATGATATATCACATGAGAATCACCTTGTATGTTACCTTTTGTGAATCACGGTTAAGGGAAATTCAATGGATACGTCAAAGTTGGAGGCTACAATAGGATCTCGTACTATACAAATTTTCCCCTTATTCCTTCCAGTTCCCATTAGCACCTCTAGGGGGATTCGAACCCGGGTAATACAACGTATAATCTCGACACCTTAACGACCAGGCCACCAGTGCCCTTGGGTTTCAAGGCAGACTTGAATTTCAAGGAAGACCAGGCCATTCCAATTACAACTTTGCTTCATCGGCGGTCCAACCATAAAAATGATATTGGAAATGCCTGACTCCTTGAAATCCACTTTAGCCCTTCGACTCAAAGGCACTTGTGGCAGTGTGGCGTAGTAGTTAAAATGTCGAAATTATTCACTCTACTTTCATGGTTCGAGATCCGCTTGGGGTATTGATGAGACCTGGGTGAGGTCGAAACTACTGTCAAGCTTGGATTAAGATACCCTTTAAGAAACACGTCTATGTGAAGCTCAATAGCTATGGCGTTGCTGAAAATTCAATTGCCAGTCCTTCATCACCTTAAACGAAATAGGCTGAATACTGTTCCTATTCATTATCTACTAGTAGTCTGGTAAATCTAATTAAAAACGTGCATGATTTATGTAGTTTTTTGAAAGGTCTGGGATATATGCAGTCTTAAAGCATGATCAGCTTTAAGGGAGGTCACCAAAAGTTAATGTATGCATATATATTTGATATATTTAGCTTTCATTTTCCCTTATGTTCATTTAAACTAAGAACCATGAGGCCATGGAAACTGCCATTTAATCTTCTTATATTATTCTGAATTTCAATAGCATCATATATTATAACAATTGATTCACTTCATGGAGTGGTGATTTTTCATTTTTTTAGATATTTACTTTTTGTGAATATCTTTTTCGTTTTTTTCACTCTTCGAATTGTTGTTACTTTTCATTTATACTGTTTAAATCCAGTTATTATGCGTCTAACCCCAATTTTTGTTCAGTTTAATTATGTACGTAACGTCCGATTTGCATTAGTACTTTATGCTACATGTAAAATGTATGCTTTATGAACTCTTAGTTCCGATTTATTGTATCGTAGTAGCAAAGCTTTCAAAGGCATCTATGAGAATCATCTATATCGCATATACATAGCTGACCACAATTGATTTTCTTTGTCCATAATGGAGATCACTCAAAAATGTGTGCTTTTCAAAGTTACCTTGTAAAGGACTTCGAAAATGGAAAGTGGCAAATGATGCATGCTTGATTTATCTCTAAATTAAACTCGTGAAACGCTTTATTAACTCATAATTCCTCATATTAGCAGGCTTTTTTGCTTTTAAAATGCTTTTCTTTTTCTACTGCCTGCATTTGTAACTTGAAGTTCCATTTGCTGGTATTTTGTACACTGCCTATGATCAGAATGTAATTAAGAATTGTTTCATAGGTTTTGTTTTCTGTTTTACCTTTCGTACTATAGCCAACATGCTTTGGATGTTATTTAGTCTCATAATGTATCCAGTTGCATTTTAATAAATCTTATATTTGTGTCCAAATTTCTTTCATTTTTTAGTTTATTTTTATATTTCCTTTTAGTATGAAAATTGCATTAAGAAATTTTCTCGACAAAATAATACCGAACTACTGCAGTATCTGGCGCGTGCTCATTTCAAAATGAACCAACTGAAAGAATGCAAAAATGTGCTCCTACAGGTAAGTTTTTAAATTAGA